AAGTGCAAGGCCTGAGTTCAATCCCTGGTTCCGCAAAAATAAATAAATAAATAAATAAATAAATAAATAAATATTGTAGGTATGTGAATTCAGCAAAATATTCCAAAATAGTCCAGTAGTCTATAATAGTAGTGGGTTATCCACAGGACTAGCAATGTCAGAAGTTGTTGACTTGAGCCTTTTACAGCTCAGCATATTAATATGGCTTTACTTTTTATACCTCGCTTTTGTACTTTTCTGCTGGATGGTTAAGACCCAGATAAAGCAAGACCTATATAACAAGAAATGTAACTTTTGTATCTGACAAGTCAGTCAGATCCCCTCAGGATTGACCCTGAAACCCTGCACCACAGTTTGTAGTTTCTTTGTCAGTGTCTAGATAATTTTAAAAAAACAGAATTGTAGCCCCTGTGGCCTTTTCCATCTGCTTCTTTCCCCGACTTTGCTATTTCCAGGGTTCACACATGTTACGGCACATTTTAAGACTTTATTCCTTTTCGTTGTCAAACAATATGCCCTTGTAGGGACATTCCGTATTTTGTTTACCTATCTTCTATCATTTGCCTATTGCAAATAAAGCTGCCATGAACACGCTTTTTCAAAAAAAAAGTTTAACATTTGCTGTCAATTCTTTCAAGCAAATATCTAGGAGTAGAACTTGTAGGACTGAATGGTAATTGTGTTTCATTTCTGTTTATTGAAGATTTTAAACCAACTTCCCCAGTAGATAGGAGGCCGTTTCTGACATCTATTTCCTCTTGAGTAAATGGATAATGTTTGTACCCTTCAACAACTTTGTCAAATGCATCTAGGTTGTCAAGTACATTTGTGAAAAGTTGTTCAAAATATCCCTTATTCTTTATATCAGTGTAGAAGCTGAAATAATATTACCTCTAATTCTTTTTTCTTTTTTTTCTTTTCTTTTTTGTGGAAGCGGGGATTGAACTCAGGCCTTTGTGCTCGCCAGGCAAGCGCTTATTCTACTGAGCTGTGTCCTGCTTGTCTCCTCTCTCTGTCTGTCTCAGTGTATCTAGTTTTATCAGTTGTATTGACTTTCTCAAAGCATTAATAGGAGGTTTTAGGGTTTTTTCAATTGCTTTTCTGTTTTATATTTCACGGATGTTTTACTCCTGTATCTTGATTATATTATCCTCCTTCCTTTTGGTTTAATTTGATTTTTTTTTTCATTTTATGTATTTGGTACAGGGTCTCACTACGCAGCTTCGACTCATAGTGACCTTCCTGTTTTCAGCCTTCCCAGCACAGGAATTATAGGCAGCACCACCACGCCGGGACTCGTTCACCAGCTCAGGGTGCTCTGGGGGCAGTGCCGGCGTGGTAGGTGGGACCTTATTGGATCTTACGTTTCTAAATCTTTCTAAGTATATATGAATATCTTTCTAAGTATATATGAATTATATATAATATATGACCTTATTGCTATGACTTGCCTTCTAATCACTTTTTAGTTGTAGTTAATAAATGTTGATGTTCTTTATTTTTTTCCTAAGTTCAAAATACTTTGTCATTTCCTCTGTAATTTCTTGCCCTGTTGTCTTCTCATTCCATTTAGATTGTTTTGGTTACTTTTCAAATTTTTATGTATTTATTTATTTATATTTATTTGGTTCAGGGTCTTGCTATGCAACTCAGACTTGCAGTGATCCTCCTGTCTCAGCCTCCCCAGCTCTGGGATTACAGGCGTGTACCACCATGCCCACTTTCGGTGGCTGGCACGGCATACCTAGGGTTCCGGGGCCTGCATGGCATGTGGTACCAGGAATCAAATCCGGGTCCTTACACTTACCAGGCAGGTGCTTAGACTGCCAAGTTATCTCCCCTGCCAATGTTTTGGTTACTTTTAACCACACATTTTGTGATTTTTTATTTTTGATTAATATACGCTTGGGTTCATAGTGCTACATCCCTTGCGTGGCTTGGCTCATGCCCCCGACACGTCTGGCTTGCTCTTTTCATCTGGTGCATTCAGCATGGGGAACGGGTACAAATCCGTCTCACATCTCACTCCCTGTGTTTCTCCTGCCCCTTTCCTCCCGCCTCCCCTCATCCCCAGATTCCCTTCCCCTCTCCACAGCTCTACCTCCATATTTCCTACTATCTGTTTTTTATTTTGCTCCTTGGCTGGTTCTGGGTTTCTCATATTAAGACCAACCTGGCATCAGGACTGGTTTGTGTTGCTTAGCACTGCGGCCTCATGGTGTGTCCATTTTCCTACAGAGGACTGAAATATATCTTTCTTCTGTTTCTTTTGCTGGGGGTGAGGGTTAGTTGGAGGTGTCTGATCGTTGCTGTGGAAGCCTTTTAAAATCTACCCTCAGCTGGTTTATGTTTGCAGACAACCTCCGGAGAGCAGGTGGAACTCACCCGATCATTTCCAGGTCTCGGGAG